GGAGGTTCTCTTGGGAAGAGAGTGCTTGGTCCCTACCCACTGCAGAGTGGCATCAAATTGAGCTTACTCCCTCCATAGCCATCCTTTGGGTCTTCATGTGCCATAACATCGAACCCACATCGCATCGAACAACTTTCACGGATCAAACTGCCGGGTTCATATATCATTTAGTCCGGGGATGTAAAGTTGATTTGGCTACTCTTATTTTTGACCAGATACACAATTTGGGAACTTGGGGAGATAGGCGATCTTCGATGATTTTCCCTAGTCTGATTAGCGGGATATGTCTTGCTGCCGGTGTTACAGTTGAGGCAGGGGAGATGCCTGAGAAATCAAGCCCATTGATAAAGCTCACCACATTTGAAGCTCAGGAACGAGCTAGGGTAAGGAAGAGAGAACAAGAAAGACTTGAGTAGCAAAGACAAAATGCGCAGGAAGAAGGACAAGCTGCTGAATATTTACACTTACCACAAGCCCCGCCACAACCAGTTGAGATGGATTTGCAGCTATTTCGACAGATATTTGCCGCAGCCACTGGAACTAGCAGAGACATACAAAATCTCCAGCAGAGGTTCGAGACAATGACCACCACAGTTGAAAAAGTGCAGAGAGACCTCTACTCCTCCCGAGACTACACAAGAGGTGCTTTGAATGAAGCCACAGCTGCGAGAAGGGAAGTGGAGACTATGAACGGTAGGTTGAACATGTACGCTGGGAGAATGGATGGCATACAATGACGTGTGGACGAGACTTGGGATCGCTTGGGAAATATGAGAAGTACTCTTCATGCCATTCAGGCCGAGCAAGCACAACAGTCTGAGTTGCTGAGACAAGTCCTATCTCGTTTCCCACCTCCGCCTGAAGATGATGCTGCAGGTCCCAGCTTCACACCACAACCACCGCATTGATTAGGGGAGTTTTGTTAATCTTTTATTGCCAACTTGTGTCCATGTTTTAAATTCTGTCATTTTAACATTACATTTTACATTGAGGACAATGTATTGTATAAGTTTGGGGGATGGTAGCATAATTTCAAACAAATATTCGGCATGTAATTATTTTGCATATTCACAATCCATCGTTAAGTTTGACAAGTTTCTGCATGATGCATGCTTGATGAGTGAATCTTTAAGAACATTTGCATGCTTGTGTGGGTTTGGTAGCCTTGCCGACTATGATATGATTATTGGACATGTATAAGCTAGAAACTGTGGATTTAGTACAGAATGTAATTTGCTAATACTTGTTGATGCATTGCTTGACACTCTTTTGCACGCCATTCATGTCACGTGTTAAGTTATTGATTGGAATTTTAGAATAAATTAGGAGAAACCTAGAATAACCCTCTATAACATTAACTCGTAATATCACTTTAAGATAATTTGGAGATGATTGAGCCATTGTAGGAAAACATAGAGATAAGTGGGGACTCCGAGCATGAAATTATAATGTGTGGATTGTTTAAACTCGAAAGGTGAGAAATAGGTGAAAGCTTTAAGTGAGGATGGTTTTAGAAGTCAAATGTCTAGAAAAACAAAGAATGGGCATAAAGTAAAAACTGGAAAATTATCACTTCTCTCAAAAAGCCTTTATGACTCGAGCAAGTAAGTCTGTAAGGGTTTAAAACCTGATGCCCTAAAACCAACTAGTTTGGGAGTCATCGGCCTAAAGCTCGTTACATGGGTCATATAGAAAGCAAGAAAATAGGAGAGTTGATAAAAAGTCATCTTGTCGAGCCTTTATAACTTGAGTGAATAAGACTGCAAGGGTTTAAAACCCGGTGCCCTAAAGCCAACTGGTTTGGGAGTCATCGCCTAAAGCTCGTTACATGGGTTATATAGAAAGCAAATGAGAAGATGACACAAAAAAAAAACAAAAAAACAAAATAAAAAATAAAAGCCCTCGTTGGACATTTGGTTGATAGAACTATAACCTCAATGCGAAGCAAGTAGCTTAGTTTAATCTTAAAGGTTGAAGCAATCAAAAATAAGGAGAGTCTCTACTTGTTGATATGTGAACTTGTAATGGTAAAATCTATCCAAACTAAGAGAGGGTAAGGATTAGAATTGTTTAAACTCCTAACCTTAGAATACACCCCGGAGAAATTGTGTGAAAAGAATACATTTGGGGATTGTGTATCTCTCGAGTGACGTAAGGATAAATTTGACCACTATGGGTCTGGGATAAACTAATCATAAGCTTGATATGTTGGCATGAGTTCACACACACACGTTGAGTATTGCATTTGATGAGTAAATATTGATTCAATTCTCGCACTCTTGATATTGTTTCTATTATTATTACTAAGTCCAATCCTAAGACACGGTAAGCTATTAAGCCATGTTTGTTTAGCATTAAGTCACTACATTGTTTGAGGACAAACAATAGTTTAAGTTTGAGGGATTTGATAAGTGCGTTTTTACACACTTATTTAGCTCACAAACATGACTTAAACATGGACAAAGTAGTTGAATTATGACTTAATCTTGTTAAATTCATGCTATATAGGTGTTTCTATGGAAAAGATGGAATTCAGAAAAAAAGAGCCGAAAAGGACCAAAACGGAACAAAGCGATAGTTCGAGGACCAAGTTGCAAATAATCCATAGATGAGACGGGAAATGGAATGAAGATTCAAGAGTGTTAAAGTTCAATCGGATGAGGAAAGGAGTCAAGAGGTGAAATATGGTCGAAGTATTATCAAGTATCAAATTTTAGGCGAAAAAGTTTTGCTCTTGATTTTGAGTCTCTACTTGAGATTCATTTTTGGCATAGTAAACATCAGAATTTGAGGAAGACTATTTCTATAAAAAGTGTATATCTTTGAGTTTTCTTCTCAATGCACTTTGAATCACTTCAATCGAAGATCGAGAGAGAAAGTTATGACCAAAATACTGAAAGCTGTCCGAAGAAAAAATTTTATAACCATGCGGCCGCATGGTTATAATTCCTTGCGGCCGCACAGGGTCTAGCAGGGATCCAAATGAGCTGAAAAATTGAACCATGAGGTCGCATGGCTTTAAGTTCGATAAAAAATTCTGAAATCCGATTTTTAATTGAAACTCTTTCGGAGCTCCGTGGGAACATGATATAAAAGCCAAAATTCATCAGAAATAGGGCAGAACGTCCAGGGAGAAGAAGAATACAACTTTTGGAGGCAAGGAACACAAATTTGAAGCCGATTTCACAAGGATTCAAAGGGGTTTTCAAGGTTTTATTCAAAATTTCAGATTTCAAGAACTTTCATACGGGTGTTCTTCCTTCTATTCATTAATTTCGTTTTGTTTTCTGTAACTATGAATCTTCTAGGATAGGGTTTTAATTACTAGGTGATCGATGAACCGTTGTTTGTTATTTTAATTCTATATTTCATGAACTTAATATAAAGATTCGTTGGATATTTTGATTGATTTACATGCATTAATTTTCTTCCGCAATTAGTGGCCAATGACTGTGTGAGTATTGATGACTTGTTTCTTACATTCGAGAGAAGTGGAATAGGTTCGATAAGGTGTAAATTAACATAGGGTCCGATAGGGGATAGAGATATACCCCTATGCTTTATGTAATTCTTAAATTGTTCACAAAACTACATGCATTCTTGTATGTTTGCATCATCCATAGAGATATAGGCTGGTGGTGTGCAAGAATAGGTCTAATATATATCGAGAGAGTATATTGAATAGAATTATGAACATTGAATTGGCAAATTTTCATCGAATCATTAATTTTATGAAATTAGGGTTTTTATAACTTCAATTGGGGATTCGTGATCCCAGTGACTTTAATTTGATTCATTTTAATAAATTAGCTTTTAAACTTGCTTAATTTCATTTACTTGAGTGTTTAAGTCGTTTAATTAGAGAAATTTCGAAATTAGGGTTTCTAATTGAGAAATTAGGGTTTTCAATTGAAATTAGGGTTTTTAGTTGAAATTAGAGTTTTTAATTGAAATTAGGGCTTTTTGCATTTAGACCATATTTTCACTCAATTAGATTCGGTTAAGGCTAGATTATATAGAATTGAACTACTCAATCTCTAAGGGACGATATTCGGACTTTTAAACATCCACTTTATTACTTGTTACGAACCGTACACTTGCGATAATTTTAAATTGAAAGAATTATTTCGTGAACACGTACCTAATGCACCTATGGTTCATCTCCAATTTCATCCCCATATGGAAGAAACAGCTTTGATTGTTCGCATGCAAGGAGAAACCAACGTCCCTCTTTCAATTGATGCTTCTCCGCGGCGTCAACCCACAAATTGGACCAACTAGCATGAAATTCATGAGAAAATGGCTCTGGGTAAGGAATCAATTGTTGCATTTCATCAATCAAAAGAAACAATCTTGGATTTGGCTTCAAGAACGGTCCACCGGTATTCATCTCCAATTTCAAATTCAGTTTCTTTTTATTATTATTTTTTCCCAATTAAAAATACCGTGTAACAATTAATCCATTTGGCATTCACCATCTAAGTGGCGCACCACATCATCGGACATGTCGGCATTCCGTTCAAATTTCAAACAATTGTCAGTTTAATAATGAATGGTATAACGAATTGGAAAATTCAATGATAAGTGGAGTGATTTTTAAAATTTAGTGACCTCCTAAAATTTTTTTGTAATATTCGGTGACTTTTTGGACAATTCACTCCAAATTATATTATGCTTTCTTTCACCTTTAGGATTTACATCTAAACAATAAATTGTAAGCACAAAGGATATAAGGTTAGAGGAAAGATATTATTGGTCCAAGAACATAATGTACCCCACACCAACTTAAGGTAAAGCAGTGAAGTAACCCTCATATTACACTCTCAGAAAATGCCTCGACGTATAACCAAAGTTGATATAGGTGGATGCATCGAGAATATTTAGATGATCGATATAAACAAGATAATATAATTTTTTTTTAAAGAAAATATTTATAAATATTTTTAAAGCTTTGGTAAATCGATGATAGAGAGACATTTCACCTCACATAGTCGCATGGATCCAATTTCTTTCTCATTTCGCTACCCCCAAACCGTATCAATTAAGCAAAAACGCTCCCTATATATAGATTTGTACGTTTCTGACCTAGAGATCTCTGAAACAAACCACCGAAAAAAATGGCTAATTCCTCTCCAGCAATTCTCCCAATTTCCAATCCCCAAACCACAACCGACGTTACAACCACCACCACTCAACAATCCGCCGTCCGTTCGCTGTTTTCGCAAATCTCGGGCACCGTTCGCTCGGGTCTCTCCAATAGCCGCCCTTGGCCGGAGCTCGTAGACCGATCTGCTTTCTCGAAGCCTGAGTCGATCTCCGAAGCCACCCTTCGGATCCGCAAGAACTACGCGTATTTCCGGATTAATTACATCTCGATCATCACTGTTGTGCTCGCGATCTCGTTGTTAACTAATCCTCTTTCCCTCTTCCTCCTCGCTGGCCTTCTCGCCGCCTGGTTTTTCCTCTACATTTTCCGATCTGCCTCTGATCCGCCGCTCATAATCTTGGGACGCCAATTTTCCGACCGTGAGACTCTTGTCGGCTTGATCGCCTCCACCGTTGTCGTGATCTTTCTTACAAGCGTGGGTTCCGTTCTTGTTTCTGCTCTCATGGTTGGTGTCGCCATTGTTTGCTTGCACGGTGCCTTTAGGGCTCCTGAGGATCTTTTCCTTGACGAGCAGGAGCCGCAGGCCGGTGTTCCTGGCTTCCTTTCTTACTTCACCGGTGCTGCCCCTGCCGCACCACCTGTGCCTGCCAGGATCTGAGGATGGATCAAATGAAACAATGGCGGTAATGATATTAATTCATAATTTTCTTTAGGTAAAAGAAGAAATAATAATTGGAAAGGAAGGATCAGAATGAAGGTTTATTCCAATATCTGCTACTATTGTTACTGGATCTGTAAAATTCGTATTTTTTTTTTAAATTTTATTTTTAAATTGTGCTTTTCGTAGGTGGAAAAGCATTGAACATCCTTTTTTTTTTCCCTGCAAGAAACCCCTGGATACAGTGTGTATGTTCAATTGAATTAATTTTGATATGAAGTTCTGATTTTGTCATCATTTTCTTTTTCCGAACACAGTGAAGTTGGATAATTGTTTGATTCTTTTATTTACTTGAAAGTGTTAAGGATCTGGACCTATTGTTGATAGAATTAGTGAGATTCGCTCACAAAACCTTTCCAAGTTGGTGATGTAATGCTGAGCTAGCTGTGGGATCTGCTGATTATTTGCTCAACTACGAAGAAGAAACTATTCAAATCGTGATAAATTGTTTCATTATTTGTTTCTTGATGCATATGGTTTTATGGGAATTTGGTTGATTTGATGGAAACCGAAAGATATTGCTACCTGTTTAAACCAGGATAATTCTGAAGTTATAATAATGGAACCCATATGATCTCTCAGTTGATCAAGATTGCTTGAGTTGGATAGAATTTGTTGCTTGAAAGAAACTAGATCTTGTAGCTCATTTTTACCATGTAAGTGCCTGAAATCATCCCATGTTTTAGGAGATTCCTCGTACTTGGGTGCTACGAGTTAGTGAAGATTTGAAGATTTGTAGTAATACCGAAACCCAATGTGATGTAAAGCTGAATGAAGGAGTCAACTGAGTTCTCCACGCTATGCCCACACAAGTGAATTCAGGTATTTAGACTTAAAAGAGTCGTGAGCAAGTCGCCATGGCCTGGCTGATTATTAGTTGAACAAAATCTGGGGCTTAGGATCTAAATCTGCAGTGCTTGTAAGATTTTCTCTTTAGCCGGCCCTGAACTAGAATGTTGACGAGTCTTGGTAGACAATCATACAAGATCTGATACAATGAAAAAGTTTCGCAATTAGTTTACGGATCATGTTAGATGTACCTAATTTTTTTTACCTAATACTTTACATACACTCACAATAGGGGTGTGGAAATCACATGTTGGGATTATTTTATTCACGCGGAGTCCACGTGCTTGTGAGAGTAGGTAAACCATTTGGTAAATCAAATTATGTACACTTAGAATTATCCTTAGTTTACACAGCAATTTTGGATAATGGGCAAATTCGGTCTTGTCCCACCAGATGATAGAGTAGGTAAACCATTTGGTAAATCAAATTATGTACACTTAGAATTATCCTTAGTTTACACAGCAATTTTGGATAATGGGCAAATTCGGTCTTGTCCCACCAGATGATAGAGTAGGTAAACCATTTGGTAAATCAAATTATGTACACTTAGAATTATCCTTAGTTTACACAGCAATTTTGGATAATGGGCAAATTCGGTCTTGTCCCACCAGATGATGGAGCAAAGGGTTGCCCAACAAATTTTATTATGTAACATTGTAGATATATTCAGCCTTCATGCTTTTTTTCTCCAATAATCTTCTCTCCCTCTTCACCAAATAGATTGTTTATAATTTTTGTGAATAGTATACATCTTTACGGAAAAGGTTGCATCGTCCTTATGTTGATCGCGTTATAATTGACGTTTTTTAACTAGTAAAATTTGTAGAAGAAATTTGGAATTATTTGATTTTCTTAGTCCTCTACGTTCAGATAGAGAGAATGGGTTTAAATCGGGTATCCTTTACATAACCATCCATATAAATACAATAGATAGCAAAATAAAATTTGGTACATTTTGCAAATAAGTTTGTCACAAGGTGTAGAGTTCTCTTCCTCAAATATACGATTGTGACAGGTAATTTGGGAAAAGGGAAAAGGGAAATGGGAAAATTTCATAAGTGAGATTAATTATAGCACATTTCAAAAATAAGAAAAGAAAATAAGTTTCAAATTTTAAAAATTAGATTTTTTTTAAAGAATTATTTATAATTTAATTAATTATTTATTTATTTTAGTAATTAAATATATTTAAATCACTTTATATAATTTTGTCACAAATTAACGATTTAATTTGTCATTTATTATTTTTTGATCACAAATCACAAATTTTATGTCACGAATTATTTTAATGTCACAATTCAAAAATTTTATAGGTCACAATTTATTTATCGGTCATAAATCAAAAAATTTATGAATCACGATTTATTTATTGGTCACAAATCACATATATTACAAGTCACAACTTATTATACAGTCACAAATTATCAAATTATTAGTCATAGATTATCAATTTTTTAGGTCACTCATTATTTTTCGATCACAATTTATCTTTCTTATTAATCATATATTATTTATTAGTCACAGATTAATCAATTAATGGTCGCAGTCAACCAAATAATTTGTGACTTCCACCAACACTTACGATTTACAGTCACAATTTTTAGGTCACGTATTCAATTGTGAGTCACAGTTACAATTTTCAGGTCACGTGTCCAATTGTGAGTCACAATTGAGAGTCATGATCATAGTCACAATTTTCATTGCCACCACAGTCGTCGTTACACACAAATCCCACAGTTGGGAGTCACAGTCACGATCCACAACCACCGCAACCACCCCAAATCATCGCCACCACCGTCACCGCCACATACCACCACCACACTCTGTCACAGATAGCCAATAGATCTATAACACCACACACCTCCACAAGTCGCCACCGTCGCCGCCACACAAACACCTCCACCAGATCGCAACCACATACCATCACTATCACTATTACCACCACCACCACAAATCACCGCAAAACAATACAAAACGTCACCTGTTTGCCACTGCACTGACCACCATCATCGCCAACACTACCACCATCAACATCACGACCATCAACACTACCTCCTGTACCAAAAATCACAACCACTATCTCAATCACACCACTATCACCATATTCACCAAAAAAATCCCCAAATTCGATGCAGCTGCCATCGCTACTTCATCTCTACCACTGACTTGTGAACAATAACTACCACGCCTCCTCAAATTCACAACAGACAGCAGTCGAACAATAGCGTCTCGACAGTACCTCTACGCGGAGTGGCAATGGGCTGAACCGATAGAGATCTCGAGTGGCGTCTCTCTAGCAGTGCTCGCTACATACAAGTTGAGCCACCGATGGCTTGTCCGGTGACGAAGGCGCTTGTGGTGTCCATTAGAGCAACTCCACGCCGACTGTCGAAGTTTGAAATGGAGAGAGAAAGAGAGAAGGCTGAGTAGGCAACTATAGAGAGACGGGAAAATGAAAATAAATTAGGATTGGATAATTTTGTATTAAAATATTTAATTTAATATTAATTTTTAAATATATTAATTAATTAAAAAAATTCTGATTGGTGAAATACTAAACATAACATCTTATTTATGAAATGGAAATTTTTAATCTATTAGGATATGTGATTTTCACTTGGGAAAATTGGGCTAATGGACTTGTGTCTTCTGTTGGAGTTTTGATATAAAAAAGTTGGACTTGGATTATTTTAAATAAATTTTATTTATATTTTTAAATAGTTAGACAAAATAGCAATTTTTGCCTCGAAAATATACTGTTGCTTGAACAAGATCGGGCAATGGTAGGCTCAAGTTTTGACTGGACAAATTGTCATTTCTTACATAATACTTTTAAATACATAATCTTCGCATATACTTCCCTACTTTTATAAAGTAATGATTTTTTTAATTAAAAACAAACTTAATTACAAATTAACGTCGTAAACTGCAAATGAGATGAAAAAGATCATTTAAATAATTTCTTACAAATTGATGAGTTGTCGAAAAGAAAGTGGAAGGGATTTTTTCATTTCATTGATTAGATTTTGACCCAATCAAATCTTATAACATTATCTATTAGAAAACTAATCTGTAAACTGTGATGTACATTTAGTACAAACGAAAAGAGAATGTTCATTAGTTAAAAGGCATACAAATGGGCTATTAAATTCATATCTCTAATTGTAAAATAACAAGACCATCACACACCTCACTAAACAACATTACAATGTGTCACATCCCGCGATTTACCTCCCTCACAAGGCTCTAGGGGCAGGGCATTGGGGTCTCTAAAGGTTGGGGTTCAACCTTTTTTTTTTTTTTTTTTTAAACAACATTACAATGTGATATTACAGGATTATTTGGTTTTATTTTGTAAATTCCTCCGGTACTGATAAATTTTATTTTATTAAGTAAATGATGAAGAGATGATACACCAAAAAGCTAAAAGGAGAAAGTGAAATTGCAAAAAAGGAGGAGTTTGAATAGTCAAAGATGAATAACGGTCATAAAAGCTGTCAGGTGCCACGAGCAGGTGGAAGTGGAACCCTATGAGAAAATAGCCGTTAGACATTCCCGCGTCAAACACGGTCTCTTTCAACAAAAAATAAATAACGTACTGAAAAGAAAACTAGCCGTTGGGATAAACTGGAAAAAAAACAGTGTAAATGTTTTCTTCTACTGAACACAGATTTTGTCTTCATTTTCATTCTTCATAAGTCCTAGATTTCCTCCCACTCTCTCACTAAAAGATTTTCACATACCCTGTTTCCAGACACACTCTCTTTCTTATCTCTTATTTATCTCCTCTGTCTCAGTTCTTTCAATAAATTTTCTGTACTAAGGTTTTAGTATAAAGCATAAAGCAGCACCCAGAAAAAAGCTTGAGAGATAAAATAATCCTTGTTTTATACTTGTTTCTTGATTAATCCTTGTTCTTGTTAAAAAAAAATTGGGTGTCTTTGAGTGTTCATGGATGATCAAATTCAGTTGTTGACTCAATTGAGCAACAACTTACCAGAGATTATGCAATTTCAGCTTGAAGGAGAAGCTGATTGGAGTTGGAATTCATATAAAAAGAAAGAAAAATGGAAGCAGGATTCATGGCTAAGAACCCACAATTTTTTCTGTGTTTTTCTGCTTCTGTTTCTCAGTTTTGGACTTGTTTCAGGCAAGAAATGGGATGGGGTCGTTGTAACACAAGCTGATTATCAGGCTCTCAGGGCCCTGAAACATGAATTTGTTGATTTGAGAGGGGTCTTGAGGAGCTGGAATGACAGTGGTATTGGAGCTTGTTCAGGTGGGTGGATTGGAATAAAATGTGTTAATGGCCAGGTTATTGCTATCCAGCTCCCATGGAAGGGATTGAGTGGTCGGATCTCAGAGAAAATCGGCCAGCTTCAAGCTCT